GCACAGCACATGAGGGTTCCACCTCTTGGAAAGACTTCCTCGTGAGCTCTCGCGTACCGCTATCGTGCCGCTGTGAGCTGGGTCTGTCAGACATCAGGAGGGATAGCATCAACCTTGTCCCATCTAGACGTGGCAGTATTGGTCCATGCTAGGGCTTGGACTACTCCAACCATCGTGGCTGAGGATGATTTCGAGCTTGTCTGCACCCCGGCTGAGTTCTGGGCACATATTAACCTCCTCTTGAGCGACGCTGATACTGAGTAAGAAGATTGTAGTAGAAGCTGCGTGTCGTTATGGATGCACTACAGGTCCCAACAGAGCGGTGTCCCATGGGATATGATTATGCTCGGTTCGGGACGACATCGAGAGGATGTCTGTCCCCCCCGACCTATCCCATCTTCAAACGGCCGACTAGATATCGCTGGTTTTAGCTATCTCACCACAATGTAGGCTCGTGGGTCGCTTGGGTGGCAGCTTCATCTCTCAGGTACCTACTGTCCCCATGCGGAGCCGGGAAGCTGTCTACGGCACGGCCCCGCATTTTGCATGATTGTGTAGTATTCGACGACCTGCATAATATCCTCGCGGGCCTATGTGCTGCAACACGACCCCATCTGCACCAGATCTACGAAGACGTCCACTTGGTCTTGTTGGATTCGGTCCGAAAGCTCGTCTGCCAAGATCGCAGTGATTGTGGGCACGACACTGAAGTCAATGCTGGGCCCCGGAATAGAAGGGGCAGCCCTGACCTCTGTCTCCTCCCCCCGAAGGCACCGGAGCTACTACGGTATTTTCGGATCATGTTGAAGGGGACCGGTCACTGCGTCCGATGGCGAAGACGGACAGAAGTCGTTGGAAAGATTGAGGACGAGCTTTGGGGGACCACATTGGAGTTTGCGAGAGCTGGTATTCCTCCAACCCAAAGGGCGAACGTAATCAGTTTCGACACTTTCTTCATCCGTCTCCATTTAGAACGTTATAGAAGATGTCATAATTCCGTGTGCACTGCAGTGTTTTGTGTTGTGAAGTTGGGAAGATAGCAATTCCAATGAATCGAATACAACCCATAGATTTGTAAAGTGACGATGTTGTGGTATGGCTTTGTCAACACAACATTATTAACACACAAAGAAAGCATCATTTCATGCATGCCATATTTCACGCTTCGATTCAACACTTCATTCATGGAAGAGGCTGTCCGATCATGGTTGGAGGGGCCCCTCTCCCTCCCAAGGCATCGACCACTGACATCCGACATGTAGGACAGCTCATGTTGGCAGGGTCGTACAAGCGGGTCTGCAGCTCAGCCCCGTCTGTGAAGCGGCTCCTGATTCTCTGTGGCCGCAACAGCCACGTTCTGATGCAGTCATTGTGGAAAACATGACCACACCAGAGGGTCCTTCGAGTGACGCCCGCCTCGATACTGTCGATGCAAACGTTGCAAGTCTTGGTACTGTCTTCATCTGCTGAGACGGTCTGAGTAGTAGTGAGTCGGTCTATTAGCCGCCGCGCCTCCGCTCGAGGGACGAGTTTAGGGGCGCGTCGGACATGGTCTGGGGCGTCATTCTGCCTGTGGTACCGTCGATAGAGCTTGAGAGCCAAATAGACGGCGAGTATAATGGTGACTGGTATCACCACCGGTAGCAGCAATATTAAGGTCAATGCCAGACCAGATAGCTCCAGCTCGATGGGAAACTCATCAGTCATGTTCCCACCGTGGGGACGAGTGTGGCTGAGGTCTCTCACTAATGGTAATGCAGTGCTCATGTAAAGCGAACCAAGGCCTGCTGCATAGAAATCATAACACAGCTCTGGTGGTGCCACAGACCGTACGCCGTGTAACCACTGAATACAGCTCTCACTGTCGATCTTCTCCACAGCGGAGTTACACACTTCATGACAGAAACCGCAAGTGTCCCCGCCTTGCTCAACACAGCCTCTGCATGGGCGACTGTTCCTCCCGCAGTCCAACAAAGGTCCTTCCCGACTTCCGTTATGACTACCCAGTTGGCATGTTTGTCTATATGGACACCAGATGCAGCCGGGGAGGGAGATACACCCTTTACAGGTGTTATGATGGAGGCAGACATCCTCTACTACAGCGAGAACTGCTGTGAAGTAGACAACCACCCAGTGTGGGTGCCATAGTTTCATACCAAACTTTGAGAAGATCAACTACAGCAAAGACCAGCGAGACCCCGCGCGATTAGAAGTACGTAACTCAATGCAGCAGCATCAATGTCGTCGTCGTATTGGGGTAAAGTCGTACAGAATGTACAGCGTCTGTGGATATGAACTGGGAACATCCCATGAAGTAAATCAATGAACATCATCATCATCACCAGCAGCAGCAGGTTAGCGCTCCCGGTCGGACGACGACCTCGTCGTGGATCGTCTCGGAGCAGGAATACATCCCTGTATGGCCGTCTGACGAAGTAAGTTAGTAATAGAGCGTCAACTCCTGTCCTTGTTCACTCGTCTCCGTGGAGGAATGCGTCGTGACGGGCTTGGCTCGCCCTTACTATCCACATTGAAACTGGATGAGCGTCGCCTCCGCTTGGTGTCCTGGACAGCAGGTAAGTTGAGCCCCAGAGGGACGGAAGGCGCGATAGGAATGTATTCATTGATATTGCTCAAAACCTACGCTAACAATCTGCCCTACTCCACTGGCGTACTGTATGGGTCCTACCGTATTAACAGTATGCTCCACGCTATCTCGAGAGTTGTGCTCCTTGAGATCGGCTTGGGCTTTGACATGTACACTGGTAGAAGCAGCGTATCGTACGTAGTA